GTGTATGTTAAAATCTTAGTTCTTTCTTAAGGTTTCTGATTTTATTTTCTTTGTTGATATTTTTGCCTGATTCTCTTGTCTTTCATCTCTATACTCGATTGATGGTAGAAACCCTAAAATTTCGGGGTTCATTCGATATGCTATGTGATTTGCTTTTTCCTCATCTCTGAACTTGTTTGGTTTCAAAACCCTAATTTCTTTGGACCTATTCGAGTTTTCGAAGTTGTTTCATCTACTACTCGACTGAGTTTTGAAATCTTTGTTTCAACTTTTGTTTCTTTGTATGATTCTGACTTCCTGCTAAACTCTATAAGGTCTTTTACTTGACCCCTTTTTGCATGCTATTGGACACTCCCTCTTCTCTGTTACGAGGTGACTACCATGTTCCTATAGTCCACTACTTACTGATTTTGTGATTGCATGACACTTCTCTTTGTCATAGATTCAGCCTTGCATGCTTAATGTTTATGCACTCTTTATAGGATAAATTTCCCTCTCAAAATAACCCTTAATTGTGGACTGATTTCAGATCTCCTCGTGTAAGTTTGGTTGATTCTTTCCTTGTTTACTGATTTCCCTGTCTCTTGGATTGATTAGAAAGCTTTCCTTAGCCTTTCGATTCTCCTATTTCTGACTTGGTTTATTTGTTTATTCATGAATCAGTAATTTCGAATCCCTGACTCCTTGATTTACTATGTACTGATTGCCTCTATATTCTGCAGCTTTACTTTGTTTTCTTACCTTATTTGGTTAACCGAGTCTTTCAAAGATTCTTCCCTTAATTAAACCCCATGTATTTACCCCTAATTGTCTACTTTGCACAAGATGCTTACTTGATTTCTTTCCATAAAAGTTTTCTGTCCACTACCGTTTGGTTTTAGCTCCTTGATTAAAGGAAGTCTTTGATACTGATGATTTTTAATTGATACACGGTTCCATAATTATTTTCTTGCGTTACTTTCTACCTATTTCCAAACTATAAATACCCGGCTTTTCCATTAAAAACGGACAGGAACACTCTTAGTTTCTGAACTCACACTCACACTCAAAAGTATTCTCTCTTGTTACTTCTACTATGGCCTGCTCTCAAGCCTTGCTACTTGCTTTTACTGTATTTTGCTCTTTGAAACTAGTATGTCCTGGTTAAGATTTTCAGCACTCACAACAATGTGTTTACTTAATACTTTTACCCTCTTGTTTGCCTACTGCTTGTGTTTAGTTCAGTACTTATTTTAGCATGTTGCAATTTCCTTTTGCCTGTTCTGCACCTACTATGCATCCTAAATGTGTTTGATGCTAATGGTTTGTTTGAGGCATGACAGTATTAAGTATTACTGCCTATGACTCAAACTTGATTCCCCTGGAATCATAACCTCTATGTCACCATCATATGTTATGTATTCTTGTTGATGTTGCAAGCATAACAGCACTCTCTATTGCTGTGTATGCCCAAAATTAGCTAATGCTTAAGTACATAGGCTCTTTGCAATCCCCAATCCCTGAACCCCTTTGTGTGAAATCCTCAATCCTGTAATTGTTTCCCAGCCCCTCTTCCCCTCTTCTGTGCTTTCTTAGTTCTTTAAAACTTTGTTTCTTCACTTGCACTCTCTCTTAGACTTAAGTTCTGCCCCCCCCCCCCCCCTTGTGAGCCTTGCCTTGGGACCCTTTGAGCTCCCTCTGAATTGGACACTTGAGGGCTGCCACTTCCACACTGCACTTGTCCCTATTCTGGTAATACAATTTGGGTGTGAGCACTGCCCGGAGTCCCTTTGAGGCTCTTAGGGAACTCTGACATACTCAAATTGGAGAAAGGCTTTGGATCGATGGTCTTTGAGTTGGTTTATCTCATAATTCAGACAGGAAGTCAAGAATCAGGCCTTTTAGGGTTGTAATTATTTTCTTTGTATTTTTCTGATGTATTAGTTGCTCTGGTTTGTAATAATTTGTAAAGAATACTCGGGGCTGGCTAGTGAAACAAGGTTGGGGTAACTATGCATGCAAAGGGTAGAAATCATGCCTATAGGACTGTTTTAATTCTGCATAATTCCACTACATATAGAAATCATGCCTATAGGACTGTTTTAATTCTGCATAATTCAACTACTTATAGAATCCATGCCTATAGGATTTTTACAATTCTGCATATTCAACTCCACCTAGAAATCATGCCTATAGGATTGTTCCAACGCCATTCTGCATAATTCAAACTGCATTTAGATACCATGTCTATAAGGTTCAATTTTTGCATTTATATGCCACGTTTATAATGTTTTAAAGCAAGTTCTGCATCTAGAAACCACGTCTATAAGTGTATAAAATCAGCAACGCGTAGAAAACATGCCTATAGAAGTTTCTAAATGAATCTGATTCGCTTCACCCATTGCTAGACGTAAAATCAGTAATAATACATACCACCACCTACAGAGCCTGTAATCAATTTGTTAATTCTGCATCTCTTTTGGATAATCTAAGTCCCCCAATGTTAACAAGCATGCACTTTTATGATTTCAAACAATTCATTTTTTGAGCTTTACTGTCTTACCACCTTCTGAGTTCAATAGATACCATGCCTATAGGATCCCCTGAGCACTTAGGCAAACCTTGGAGTAATAATAAAAACTGAATCCGCTTCTGTTAATTATTACAACCAGTAGGCAGTCCCGATTCGGGCTTCTCATCTGAATTATGTAATAAACCAATCTGCCCAAATCCTTTAGACTCCTTCATATTTAATTCTAATCAGACCTAAGCAGTACGTGCAAGACATGCTATTATGTGCTTTTTTTTCTTCTGTGCAAGGAGGTATGATTGAGCCTTATATGTTTATATGTCTCCCCAAATATACAGTATGTGTTTTGTATGTCGCCTTAGAATTTTACCTTTGAAACTCCAAATAAGCCTAATATCCTTCCCCTTTTAGGATTAGTAGTCCTAAGCGCCTCCGGGACTGATAGGATTGGGACGGGTAATAGCATACATTAAGTAATCGATACCAATCCGCGCTTTAAATACCTTAATGGGGTGGGATGGGTAGATATGGATATGATGACCACGCGATAATGTCACGTGTAGCCCCTCATTGAGGAGTGATTACCGGACATTGTGTGGGGTGATCCATATTATTAATAAACCTAGGACCCCTCTCCCTTCATTCTTTATTTCTTTTCCTTAGCATTTTAACTCTTTTAAAATCAGCTCTTCTAATTGCTCTTGCATACCTTGTTTACTTTCAAACCATTATGTGCTGAAATCCCCTCTTATTTGAGCCTTATTTGTTTATATGTAAATTGTACCCAAATTCACAATAATTGTCTGGCCGGTAACCACACTAGTGGATTCTGAGGGGTACCTAACACCTTCCCCTTAGAATAATTTCAAGCTCTTACCCTATCTCTGGTTATTCAAATCGAACTCTTTTGGTGTCCTAATGCACCCTAATCATTAGGTGGCGACTCATCAATTTCAAACCCAGTTCCCAAAAGGAATGAGTTGTCCCTCCAAATGTCATAAACCCGATTTCGCGAGGAAAAGGGGGCGCGACAGTAGTTAGTCCTTATTTATAGCATTTTTATTACGTAACATTTAGTTAGTAAACATCCAATTTATTACATAAATATTTCTGAAGATTGAATACGTGAATTTGTGTGAGTCTAATAGCTGTGTTTAATAGGTTAATTCCCTGTGGGATTCGACTCCGGACTTGTTAACCGGAATATATTTGCAACGACCGCTTTGTCCTTTTTATAAGGCATAGTTGGGCATAATCAAATTTTGGCGTCCTTGTCGTGGATTTAACGATGTTATTAATTGCAGCTAAAAGAAGTGCTAAAATTCTTAGCCTAGTCAATTTTCTTCAATTTAAACTAAATACATTGGAATTCTAATGTTTGTAGTCTTGGGTGTTACAGGTGCATGCCTAGATACTCCTCAAGAGCTGGTGAATTGTTCGAAGCATTATCAGATCCTGAGAAAGTTTTCAAGGCACTGAATCGTGCAAACAAGGAGGGCAAACAGCAACAGAACTCACCAGAACTAATCGAACCAGACATGGAGATGAAGTAAACAACAAAAATAATGGGAATGACCCAAACAATCAGGGTGTGGTGCCTCTTGTGCCAGAAGAAGCATTGTACGATTGGGCACAACCCACTGGTGACAACCTAGCATCCGCAATTGTATTCCCTCAGATACAAGCAGAATCATTTCAAATCACAAACAGCATGCTGCATTTATTGCAGAACAAGGGACTGTTCTCAGGGTCATACGTGGAAGATCCTCAGCAACATCTGAAGAATTTCCCTTCGATATGTGTCACTCGAAGGCAACCTAATGTGACACCAGAAGCAATAAGGTGGTTGTTGTTCCCATTCTTGATGACGGGAGAGGCTCAAACTTGGCTTAATTTACTCCCCAAAAACTCCATCACTACTTGGGATGAATTAGTCAAGCAACTTTTTAACAAATTCTACCTACCCAATAAGACTGCTAAGAAAATTGATGAGATATTGAGCTTCAGGCATAAACCAACAGAAACATTACAGGAAACGTGGGAGAGGTTCAAGGGTATGCTGGTTAAGTGTCCGCATCATGGCATTTCGGAGTAGATATTGGGGCAGAGGTTTTACATGGGATTGGCAGACAGCTTAAAGGCCAATGTTGATGCTTCTTCAGCAGGTGGAGCATTTTTGAGCAAAACAGTCAGAGAAAGCAAGATCCTACTTGACAAGATGGCCCAAAACTCAGGATGGATGAAAAGAGACTCTCCAATCATTCCTGTAGTTCATTCAGTGGCTTTGGACCCAAACAACTCCATAGCTGAAAATATGGCCACTCTGGTGACACAAATGAGTATCCTCACCAAAAAGATAGATGAATCAAGCTAGAAGCAGCAAGTACACATAGTTGACGCAACTAATGGGGGCTTATGTAAACCATGGATTAACCAACCATATGTGTGCTCGTGGAGTGCGGAAGGTGACAACCAGCATTATCAGGAAGATATGAATTATGTGGCCAACTATGAGGGACAGAGGCAAGGTGGTCAGAATTGGGGTCAGCATAATCAACAATACAGACCAGCACAGCAGCAGTACAATAACAACAACAATCCTGGAGCTATGCGACCACAGGGTCAAGTGATGCCCTACCAAAGGCAACAGGGTTACAACTAGCAAAATCAGCAGCAGGCTTATCAACAAACTTAAGAACAACAGATTGTGAGACAAGATGATGGGTTTGCTGAACTTAAGGGAATGGTGCAACAATTGATTGGTCCACAGGAAAAATAACTAAAAGAGTAGACTCACATGAAACAGCGATAAAGAGTATTGAGATTCAATAAGGACATATTTCGATGGCTCTAAATAATCATCCCCAAGGGACGTTACCTGCAGATACACAAATCAATCCAAAAGAGCAGGGCCCGAAACAGCTTATGGCAGTGAGTCTACGAAATGGTAGAGACCTAGATCTGGAGCAAGAAATGGCTCGTGAAAACTGACCTACTAAAACACTTGTGCCGGTACCCATTGGGATAGATGAATCAACAAGGTTAACTAAAGTCACAGTACAGCATGCACAAGAGAATGCCAGCAAAGAAAAAGAGGTTGCGCAATCATTCCTGAGCAATACAAAACTCAAATCACAGGGAAGAAGCAACCTCCGGCACTATTCCCACAGAGATTGGCCAAGTATCAGAAAGATAAGCAGTATAAGAAATTCTTGGAGATGTTGAAGCAAATTCAGGAGATGCCTGGTTACGCAAAAATGATGAAGGACTTGATGTCTCGTAAGTTCGACTTTCAACACTTGGCCACTGTTACAGTGACTCAGACTTGCAGTGTTGTTAATTCCATGCACAATAGGCAACTATGCGTTTGCTAAGGCACTTTGTGATTTAGGGGCAAGCATAAACCTGATGCCCCTGGCTATCTACAAAATGTTAGGCATTGGAAGAGCTAGACCCACGTCCATGTTGCTACAGCTGGCTGACCGGACAGTGAAGAGGCCCTCTGGCGTTCTTGATGACGTATTAGTACAGGTTGGGAAGTTTGTGTTCCCAGCAGATTTTGTCATTCTTGACTGTCGGCTTGACGAGGAAATTCCCATAATTTTGGGAAGACCATTCTTGGCCACTGGGAGAGCTTTAATTGACTGTGAAACTAGAGAGATCAAAATGAGATTAAATGATGGAAAGATAACATTCAACGTGCAGAAATCTATGCGGCGACCAAGTGAATTTGCTAACTGCTCTCTAATAGATGCCGCGGATGTAATTTTGGAGGAGGAAGATGAAACATTAAACACTAAAGACCCTCTAGCAGCCTGTCTCATGAATTTAGATGAAGCAAATAGAGAAGACTTGGCGAAGTTGGTACTTGCTCTTGAAGGCCAAGGTTTTTGGAGAAGGGAGCTCGAATTTGACCCTTTGCACTTAGAGGAAAGAAAAAATCCTCCATCTAAGCCATCGATAGAAGAGCCTCCAAAGTTGGAACTGAAGCTACTGCCACCTCATCTCAGGTATGCCTTCTTAGGACCTAACTCAACTTTACATGTTATTATCTCATCTAGTTTGTTAGATGTGCAGGAAGAACAGCTTTTGCAGGTACTGACGAAGTGCAAGACCGCAATTGGTTGGACCATTGCAGACATTAAGCGTTAAGGGTATCAGCCCGGCCTTCTATATGCATAAGATTTTACAGAAAGATGGGCACAAACCTTCTAGAGAACATCGAAGAAGGCTGAACCCCAACATGAAAGAAGTGGTGAAGAAAGAAGTTATTAAGTGGTTAGATGCGGGAATCATATTCGCCAACTCTGATAGCAAAAAGGTCAGCCCAGTTCAGTGTGTGCCAAAAAAGGGCGGTATAACGGTAGTGAAAAATGAGAAGAACGAATTGATCTCTACACGAATAGTTACAGGTTGGCGAATCTGTATGGATTACAGGAAGTTGAACTTGGCTACTCGGAAAGACCATTTCCTACTGCCATTCATTAATCACAAGCTAGATAGATTGGCAGGAAGGTCCCACTTCTGCTTTTTGGATGGGTACTCAGGGTGTAATCAGATCTCTATAGCCCGGAGGACAGATAGAAAACATCGTTCACCTGCCCTTATGGAATCTATGCCTTTCGGAGAATGCAGTTTGGCCTATACAACTCACCGGCCACATTCCAAAGGTGAATGATGGCCATCTTCATGGATATGGTAGAGGAAATAATGGAGGTTTTCATGGATGACTTCTCAGTGGTGGGGAACACATTCGATGATTGTCTTATGAACTTGAGAAGAGTATTGAAGAGGTCTATCGAGACAAATCTGGTACTCAACTGGGAAAAGTGCCATTTCATGGTACAAGAAGGTATAGTCTTGGGGCACCTAGTGTCGAGTAAAGGCATTGAGGTAGATCGTGCAAAGGTTGATGTGATAAAAAAGCTTCCACCACCCACTTCCGTCAAAGCAATCAGAAGTTTCCTTGGGCACGCCGGTTTCTATAGGAGATTTATAAAAGTTTTTTCCAAAATTGCTAACCCCTTGTGTAAATTGCTTTAAAAAGATCACCCTTTTGTGTTTTCTGATAACTGCAGGGTAGCGTTTGAAGAATGGAAGAAGAGACTGGTAACAACACCTATCATAGTTGCCCCTGACTGGGAGCAACCATTTGAGCTGATGTGTGATGCGAGTGACTATGCTGTGGGAGTAGTTCTTGGGCAACGAAAAGACAAATTCATGCATCCAATATACTATGCAAGTAGAACTCTGAGTTGTGCCCAGCTAAATTACACAGTGACCGAGAAGGAGATGCTAGCAGTGGTGTTTTTATTTGACAAATTCAGGTCATACCTGATAGGCTCGAAGGTAATTGTTTATACTGACCATGATGCTCTCAGGTACTTAATCAAGAAGAAGGATTCAAAGTCGCGCCTGATTCGATGGGGCTACTGCTGCAAGAATTTGACTTGGAAATCTGTGACCGAAAGGGAACGGAGAACCAAGTGGCTGATCACTTGTCTAGGCTGGAAGGAGCTGAGAATAAGGTTGAGGTGGAGGAGATTATGGAAACTTTCTCGGATGAACAACTATTAGCCACGAGTCTTGAGGAAGCGCCATGGTATGCTGACAATGCAAACTACCTGGCGAGCGGTATTGTTCCTTATGACCTTTCCTCTATCCAAACATGATTGTCGCATGTATTATTGGGATGAGCCTTATCTGTTCAGGATTTGTGTTGATAACATGATCCAGAGATGTATCCCCGAGATAGACCAATATTCTATTTTGTAGTCGTGTCACGTGTCACCATATGGTGGCCATTTCGGGAGAGTAAGGACAGCTGCGAAAGTTTTGGAGTCGGGCTTCTACTGGCCGACATTGTTCAAAGATGCACACCTATGGATAAAGGGTTGTGATGAATGCCAACGAACCGGGAATATTTCCCCCCCGACATGAGATGCCTATGAACCCAATTCAAGAGGTAGAAGTGCTTGATGTATGGGGAATCGATTTCATTGGGCCTTTCGTCAGCTCATATGGCTACAAGTACATACTCGTCGATGTGGACTACGTGTCCAAATGGGTGGAGGCTACACCGCTCCCTACAAACGATGCAAAGGGGGTAATTGTTTTTTTGAGAAAGAACATATTCACCCGATTTGGCACTCCAAGGGCAATAATCACTTACGGAGGCACTCACTTTCATAATCGAGCCTTCGTGAAGTTTTTAGAAAAGTATGATGTACTCCACAAGGTTGCCACCCCATATCATCCACAAACGAGTGGGCAAGTGGAAGTTTCGAACAGAGAGATAAAGATTGTGTTGACAAAGACTGTGAATGCTACTAGAACGGATTGGGCGAGAAAGTTAGATGATGCACTATGGGGCTATCGAACCGCTTTCAAAACTCTGATTGGCATGTCGCCATACAAGTTGGTGTTTGGGAAGGCGTGTCACTTACCGATGGAGTTGGAGCATAGAGCTTTATGGGCATTGAGGCAATAGAATCTCGATATAGAAGTTGTGGGTACGAGTAGAATCACGGAGTTATACGAGCTAGATAAGTTTCAATACCACGCTTTTGAGAGCACAAGATTATACAAGGAGAGAATGAAGATGATACATGACAAAAATATTCTTGAGCGGAGTTTTAAACCCGGAGATAGGGTATTGCTATACAATTCAAGACTGAGGTTATTTCCGGGCAAATTAAAGTAAAGATGGTCAGGGCCATTTCGTGTAGTTGAAATTCATTCCACTGGTGCCGTAGAGATTGTTATGGAAATGACTCTCGCTAGTTCAGAGTCAATGGGCGCAGATTAAAACATTATGTAGACATGGATGAAGCAAAGGTAGTGTCAGTGACCCATTTGATCGAGTCATCGATGTTCAGCGTACCTTAAATGTGCTTACCTGCATCGTGCCGCGATGTTAAATCAGGCGCTTCATGGGAGGCAACCCATTGGACTATTGTATTCGTCGTTCCACGACGATAACTAAGGCGCTCGTTGGGAGGTAACCCAATTCGTAGTTGATTTTTAGTGTAAATTTTTCTTTTTGTTTTTAGGTACTAACAAGTTTGCAGGTGAGTTTGGGCAAGTCGAGCAGGGTTTCAGCGTCACCTGACACACCAGGCGCCAGGGCTGGCGGCGCCAGGATAAAGCCAGGCAAAGCTGGCGTTGGGGCTGGAGACGCTTGGCTAACGCCAGGTCCACCAGGCCTTAGGCTGGCGATGCCTGGGTAAAGCCAGGTTAGGCTGGTGTTAGGCTGGCAACGCCTGGGTAACGCCAGGTACTGGGCCTGGCGATGCCAGGTAAGTTATTTCGACCCAGTTTAATTTTTTTCTCCTTATTTTAGTCGAACTTCCTCACTTACACGCCCTAAACATTGAACCCAATACAAAAACCCTAACCTCACTTAAACCAAACACACATCAACCTCTAAAAGAAAATTCAAAAGCACACACATCTGCTCATCAGCTTTGCTTTCAACCAAACACACTGCACAAATTGGCTCACCCACACACGCAACAGCACATTGCCATAGTTGTCTCTCCCATCCCCATTGAAGTCAAGCTTAGTCTTGCTATTCTTTCACACTCATCAGATATTCTCAGGCAGCTCCTTCCTCTCAAAAGCTTCAAAGGTATGATTTTATCTCTTTCCTTTGTAATTTCGAGTTGGGTACATGTATACAATTACACACAAAAGTTGGTGGTTGTTCTTCATTATAGTATTGAGTTTGTGCGCCCCAACCCCATGAACCCCATAGGAATGGTGCTGCAATTGTGAAAACATGTGGTAGTACGGAACCCCCAAGCCGCTTTGGGAGGATGAGGCAATCTCTCATTTCCAAAAGAACTCCCATGGCACTAGTGCGTGTTAAGTGTTTGATATAATGCGCCAATGGCATTCCTTGTCCCCATTAGAGCCCGAGTCTCCGGGATTAATAGACTAGTGTTATGAAGTCGTGCACAACGTTAAAAATCATAAGTGTGGGGTGGCTCACGGGTAGCCTATGTGTTGTTGTTTGATTCCGGAATCAAAGCCTCGAATCCATATACTAAGGAGAAGGGGGGTTTCCCCCGTTTTGGACTTTGATGTTGTTCGATATGCCCAAAGGACGTCAGGTAAAATTTTTCTCCACTTCCCCTTAGCATTGTTCAGCCTCTTCTTTAAGTTTTGAATGATAGTCTTGTTCGTCGATTTGGCCTGTCCGTTCCCACTAGGATGATACGGTGTTGAGATATCCTTTTATTTGT